CGGACATTTGCTGTCTGATGAACCGTAGGCTGGTTCTTGCATGGAAATTGTGGGAAAGGTCTAGGAAGGCCAGCATGGTTCAGGCCTGACGGTGGCCGTTACCACAGTGTCCTGGTGCTGAGCATCACCTGTTTCCCCAGGTCACGGCTCAGAGCGAGACCCAGGAGAGCGAGTGTCTGCAGTAAGGGTCACGCCTCTATGTGGGTTGCAGATGGATCTCACACTGTGATCACGTTACAGAGGGGTTTCTCTTCATTCTTAATGTCTGCTTAGTCTGTGTGGAAGTGTAGGTGAGCGCACTAAACAGAGCTGAAAATCAGCAGAGACGGCGTTGTTTCGTCTGGTGTCAGGGTTGACCCGGGTGAGCGGGCTGCTGCTGGTCTGTAGGGGCAGCTGCACCCGGAGCCTACGGGACCGGTCTCTGGCACCGCCCTGGCCTGGGGTTCATCGTGCCAGCTCCCAGACGACTCATCCGCGTGCAGCCAGGTTCCAGAGGCTGGGCCTCCCGTCTCTACACCCTGGGCAGCTCTGCGTTGATTTGATTCTACAAAACGAAGGAAGATGCTGAAGAGGTCATAAACGGACCAGCAGAGCCGAGGTCTCTCCCCAAACAGGCCGCAGAGCATCACTGATGACGAACCTTGGCAGCTTAACGTCTGCGCAGGGAGATGCAGACGGCCTGCATGGCTGTGCTGTTATTAAAATGAATGTTCTGAACCAACCATGAAGCAACGTATCACAGGAGATGCATCGGTTCCTAACTGCTGTCCTGGAGGTCAGTCATCACGGCCGCCTGGGTCAGCACCCCAGGTCCAGCAGGGTCAGGCCCCCTTGGTGGAAGGGGCTGTCCCATACCGTCGCCCCATCACCAGCTCAGCTTCGCCGGCTCACACATTTTCTAACACGTGTGTCGAAGGGTATGCTGTTGGTGAGAGCTGCCGGCATCCAGGGATGCTCCTTGGGCTGGCATAGCCAACACAGGGGAGGACTTTCAAGTGAGAGCTCAACGCCAAGCTGTCTCCAGGGCCCACTTGTTTGCTTGCCCACTCGGCACTGCCGGGGTGACTCAGCAGTGGAGAGGAGCACTTGTGGACCTGCTCGGAGACTCAGGGCCCCCACTGCCCCAGCCCTGCCCCGGCCGCTGGCCTGGCTGCGTGTGGCCAGGTCCAGGCACTGTTCTCCTCTCGGTGCACGTATGTGTTTACAGTGTAGCAAATACAAACGCAAACAGCAGTTAAGTTCATAGGTGTGTGGGTTTCATGTGTATACTTTTTCTGATGCAGAAATGAAACTACTGCTAAATACATTATACTTACATATATATAAATATATATATGGCCTGACCGTGAGTCCCAGGGGCTCCCTTCCCTGCAGCACACGCAGGAAGCCAGACTGTCCCTGACTTCAAATCTGGGCCTGCTTCTCTGGAACACGGCCGTCTCAGGGGAGCTGCAAGGGCCAAGAGGCTGCTGCCCAGAAAGTGCTCTGGAGCTCGGTCTGGCCCCTCAGGTGGCATGTTACCCACTGACCTCGTCAGCTCGCATTGTTGTGCGGAGCTCAAACTCCAAGGTCAGATCCTTAGGGGCCTTCGTCTCCACTCAGGTAGTCCTGTTGTTGCCAGGCTGCGGCAGGCACTCAGCTGTTAGAGGTCGGAGCCTGAGGAAGCCATCATGTGAATACGGGGCTAGCCCACATGGGCCGTGGCATGCGCGTGCGTGTGTCTAGAGGGGGTCCATAAGTTCTTCAGGGTGAGGCATGCATTGAGGTATGTCCAGCGTGGTCACAGACACTGCTGACCTCAGGCCCAGGGGCCCCATGGGAGGCAGACAGCAGGCAGATGGCTGCCGGCCAGTGGGTCTGCAGCTGGAGGTGCAGGGACCACAGAACCGTCCATCTACCTCAAAGCAACTGGCCTTGTTCTGTGCATCTTTAAGACTCAGACTGAGCAACTTTGTTCATAGCCTTGTCACTTTTTATTACAGAACATTCTGAACACACGCAAAGTAGGTAGAACTTGAGATTTTCTTTTGAAAATAGCGCTGACCTTGCACCCCTCCAAGTCTCAGCTCTCCCACTGTGCCTCGTTCTGTCCAATGCAAACCCCAGCATCATGTCATTTATCATAAATATTTCAGGACATTCTCTTAAAAAGGGGGCTCTGCAAAGAGGTGCACTTCACCTAAGTGAACAATATTCATCTATATCTCACATCTGTTCATGTTTAAAGTTTCTGTTGTCATGCTGTCTGTCTGTGCATGTTCAAGTTGTGTGAATTAGAATCCAAACAAGCCCAAACACCGGGATTGGCTGACATGCTTCAGTCTTCAAACAGCGCCACGTGCCCTATGCTCCATCTCTCTGGCTTTTCCTGAGAACTACCTTTTGAAGGAACGAGGGTGTCTCTCTGAGTCTCTGGCAGCCTGCCTTCGTTAGTTATTGGTGAGGAGACACAGAGGAGACATATGCGCATGCCACTAAGTGAAATAAGGCAATCTGAAAAGTCTGCTCTGTGTGTCCAACGTCCAACCACAGGATGTTCTGGAAAAACTATGGACACAGTCATATGGAGCAGATCAGTGGTCTAGGGGCCAGGGAGGGAGTGATGAACAGGGGGGCACAGAGGATTTTTAGGGCAGTGAAAGCCTCTGAATGACCCCATTGTGATGGATACGTGTCTTTACACATCTGTCCAAACCCACAGAATGTACAACATCCGGAGGGAATTTTAACATGAGCTGTGGACTTGGGTGACAATGTACTGATGCCCGTCAGTTGTACAAATGTCCTGTCCGCTGGGGAAGCAGAGGTGGGGGAGGCCGTGTGCAGGGGAGATGCACAGAAAACCTCTGAACCTTCCCCTCAGCTGTCCTCTAGGCTTAAAACTGCTCTAAAAATTAATTCTATAAAAACAGTATGTTTAAGAAACTAAAAAAAAAACAAAAACACTTTGAAATGTTATTGCGGGTGGACTCAGTGGTCTGAAGCCATTTTCCTTCTCCATCTTTCATGATCGATGTTGTAGTCAGTGAGTGGCCAAGGTGTGTCCGACTCTGTGACCCCATGGCGTCCCAGACCCTCATCATCTCCAAGAGTTTGTCCAAGTTCATGTCCACTGAACTGGTGACGCCATCCAACCATCTCATCCTCTGCCGCCCTCTTCTCCTTCTGCCCTCAGTGTCAGTGTTAAAAGATCACCATCAGATTTACCTTAAAAAGCCAGGCACATGACCACAGGAAAGCGCCGTAAGTGCTGACTGTGACTGTTACCCTGCGTGTCTTTTGTTCCCTTTTTTTACTTGAAAAATCTCCCACCTGGGCAGCATTTTTTTTAAAGCAGGATTTTTAGTATTTAGTTTTTGTTGGCTGTGCTGGGTCTTCCTTTCTGTAAGTGGGCTTTTCATTGCGATGGCTTCATTGTTGCAGAGCACAGGCTCCTGAATGCACTGGCTCAGGAGATATGGCACATGGGATTAGTTGCCCCAAGGAACGTGGGATCGTCCCAGACCAGGGACAGAACCTGTTGTCCACTGCATTGGCAGGTGGACAATTAACCACTGGACCACCAAGGAAGTCCCGGGCAGCAATTTCAAAATGGAAACGTTTTATTTAGAGACCAGGCTGTGCCTCTCAATGTGTCTGTGCACACACGACTCATGTGAGGACGAACCGCTGGGAGGTGTCAGGATCCAAGAGAGAGAACCGCGGGGAGGGAGTGAGGTTCCAGGAGAGAAAACCGCGGGGAAGGACTGAGGATCCAGGAGAGAGAACGCGGGGAGGGAGTGAGGATCCACGAGAGAGAACCGCGGGGACGGAGTCAGGATCCAGGAGAGAGAACCACGGGGACGGAGTCAGGATCCAGGAGAGAGAACGCGGGGAGGGAGTGAGGATCCAGGAGAGAGAACCGCGGGGAGGGAGTCAGGATCCAGGAGAGAGAACCACGGGGAGGGAGTGAGGATCCAGGAGAGAGAACGCGGGGAGGGAGTGAGGTTCTCGGAGAGAGAACCACGGGGAGGCGTCAGGATCCAGGAGAGGACGAACCATGAAGAGGCAGTCAGGATACCAGACACCTGAGCATCTGGTGGACTTTTGGATCCAGCTGTACCTGAAGCTACACCTCAATTCTTAGACGAGTTCGTCAATACAGGAAGACAAGCCCAGTGGAGCTGTGACTGTTACTTACAACTGTTGCACGTGAGGATACAGCCATAGCCAACCCTCGCCTTTAACCGTTGATTACCCCAGGAAATGGGAACAGAAAGGTCTGCTCTGCTTGCTGACTTAGAGGTGAAGCGGGCATGCTTTCTACGTCTGGTGGCACTGTGGTGACTCAACAGTGCCGGCACTCATCCATGCCTGACTGGCTCCGCTGACGCCCCAGGCCCCGCTCTGCCCCACACGGCAGACTGCAGGCTCCTCAGGCCTTCCTGGGCTCTGTGCCTCCACCTGCAGGCCAACCTGGGGTCACCAGCAAGGGCCAGAGGGCTGTCTCAGGGCAGGCCTGAAGATGAAATCGCCCCCATACTGCCCTGAGTGCGGAGGCTGAAGGCGAAGCGCCCGGGGTCTCGGGTCAGCGGTCCCAGCGGGCTCTGACTGGGGCCATCTGAGCGCACAGGCCTGCGGGTGAGACACAAGGTCCTGGGGACAGGACCACGCTGTCCGTGCTGCTGGCTGACAAGCCGGACATGACAAATTTTACAATCTTGTCAGCTCTGAGCTCCTAGGACCAGAACTGCTCTGCTTTCCTTTGGTGTTAGATCTAATTTTCATAAATCTATTAGAAATAGCAGCAGTCCTTAGCTTTTCTAAAGCTTTGGTGTGTACGGAACAAGCAACAGCCGTGGGCAAGCTTGGGAGGACCCTGCTTCTCCATTCCAATGCCCAAGGCCCCGCTCACTCACCCATGAACCTCCCCAAGTATCTGTCCACAACCTCCCTGACCGGCGCTGGGGAGGGCCGGCGGGTGGCTGGACCCTGAGAGGGAACAGGGCGGAGAAGCAGGCTTACAAAAAAAAGTTTTATTAAATGAAAGAAAAATCTGTTTGGTGGGTCACATATGAAATAGATATACAAAACTTTACATCTGATCTCACGAAGGAGCCGAAGGCAGTGGCCTTTGTCTCGATCCCCATGGGAGTGAGGAGGCGGCCTGGGCGCGGAGCCATGGGACCTGGTGTCAGGGCCCCCACGGGCCACAGCACACCGGGCGCCCCCCGGCCCATCCACGCTCTGCGCAGGTGTGCGTGCCGCGCAGCCTCACTTAAACCGTGCACACGCCGCCGCTTCCGTCAGGAGAGCCAGGACGCCGCTGGACTCCCGCGCACCATCCCCTGAGTCTCGTCGGGGCCCCAGGCCTCACCCTAAGTGACGTGCTACAGCACTGACGTCACAAGTGCCCCCCCAGCTCTGATGACAGACCCCACGCTCCAGCCCACACCCCTCCTCTGATGACAGACCCCATGCTTGGCCCTGCCGTGTGGCTCGGCTGAGCTCAATGACGGTCTCTGGTGTGGCCCGCGCTCCCCACAGCGCTGTCCTTAACAAGTTGGCCTTCCTGTGGTAACTTCTAAAAACACCTATTTCTGCAAAATAGTATTTCTGCAGGTGGAGCTCTGCACACAGACACATCCTATCGTGGGTGAGCTGCGGGCTGTCCCAGGTCACATGAGGTCACCCAGCTCGGCCTCCAGCGCAGCCGCCATCTCGTCCGCCTCTGAGCTGCCCCCCTCCTCGTCCTCGCAGCTGGATGCCCCGCTAGACTCGCTGGCCGCATCCTCTTCGTTCAGCTTCCTCTTGTGGCCCCTGCAACGGAAGCAGACACGCCATGATGCTCCCAGCCCTGATGGCCAGGGCCCACAGCAGATGACACAGTGCCTGTGATGCCTGAGGACAGGAGACGGCAGGGCGGGACAAGGCACCAGAAAGGGACACGGGGACAGTCACCAGAAGACAGGTTCATGGTTCAGGCCTATAATCTACTTTGAGTTAATTTCTGGGTAAATTTCAGACTGTGGCCAAGACTATCTTACATTTGGACTTCTAACTGTTGCAGCACCATTTATTGAAAAGGAAACTTTAGTTATATAAGAGTATGTACATCCCCTGACACACACCTCTGGTTTGGGAAAACCTTCCAAAGAGAAGAAAACCTCCAAAAGTGCAACTCTTAGAGACACAAAAGGCACTGTCAGCAGCCACACACACAAGACGATGTCATCTATTACTCAAGCTCTATCACAAAGATGCTTCTACAACAGACAATAAACGATCTAATCGTGAGAAACACTCCCCAAACAGAAAAGAACTGACCCCCAAAAATAGAAAATTCAAAAAGGACAACAAACACTGAAAAAATAGTGCAACTTAACTGGAAAGTGAAACAGAGGTGCAGTTACAAAGCACCTCACCCCTCAGGCTGGCAGGAGCCGAGGGGAGGCCCTGGGTCCTGCCTGCGTGGCTGAGGGGAGGCCCTGGGCCTGACGTGGGAGTGGGACTGGCCCTGGGAAGCGAGTTCCCGAGCCGGGATGTGCAGCAGGCACGTCTCCCCATGAGAAGACACATCCCTGGACGGCCACCCAGCCGCATCCAGCAAGGTGCCATGGGGTGGGTGCTGGACGGGAGCCTGGTGCCCTCAGCTCCTCGACCAACACGCTCATGGCTTGGTGCCTGGAACCGCCCGCCACCCTGAGGTCACACTCCCCCATGCCGAGCTCAGAGGCTGAGGGTCCCCCACATCCTGTGCCTCCAGCCCCACCCAGAGGGACACATCCCAGAAAAGGAGCGGGCACCGGACACCGGACACATGTGTCTTCACAGACTTTCATCTGCACCAGGTAAGCGGAGCGTCACTCTGGACACTCTACTGTTGTCATGGTTACAAGAAGAGCTGCAGGCAGAGCAGCCTTGGGGTGAGGCGCATCTCCATTTAAAAAACCACTCCGTTTTATGCCATCACTTACAGAGAAACATGAGGTGGCGGGATGAGGAGACACGTGAACTGTAGGTCTCTGGGGCCTGAGCTCAGAGGCTGCACGGAGCAGCCGGGTCTGGGAGGGCAGTGGGCCCCCAGGGCGTCCTGCCTCATCCTAGAAACAGCCCTGCAGCAGCCACACCCACCTCAGACAGGCTGACACGGGACAGGGCACAGCCACAGGCCACAGACGCCTTTCCCCTCCGTGCCCACAGCTGGAACTGGGCGCTGGGCCCCACGGGGCGGGGGACAGGGAAGGGCAAGTCGACCGGAAAGAACCCGTCCTCTCAGGCCCCGTTCACACCTTGAGGGGGCTGGGCTGGGAAGAGGGGAGGGTGCCAGGGTCTGGACACGAGGATGGGGCTGAGTGGGTCCCTGCAATGCTTCCAGCAAAGGTGCCAGCCAAGCTGGGGTCCAGCGCCGGGTGGGGGGAGGTGTGGATGCAGGGCCGCAGCTCTCAAACCAAATCAGAGCAGATGCAGGGCCCCGGGCTGGCACCCCACACTGCAGCGCTGACTCTGGATGTGCAGAGATGCTTGAACAGAAGTTGTTACTAAGTGTAATTAATCTGAAGCACGCAGATTATTTCTCTTTGTCAAGTGGTGAACATGCAGATACATTTAGAAATAACACGTAGAGACAGTTCTGAAAGACTGCTTCCTTCTTTATCGTTCAAACCACTGCAAACAACCCTATTAACCACATTCCTCACAGGGGTACCACCTCCCAGGGACAGAACTGGAGGTCGTGTGTGTGTGCACACGTGTGCACAGCAATAACACATGTGCAGTGAACAGACGGCCCCAGGCAAGTCCTGCTCAACTGTGGATGCTGGCTCCTAGGCCCCACCTCTGGCTGCATGGCCTCAGCCGCAGCGAGACCCTGGGGACACGGGCTGTTCCTCCAGGTCCTTCTCGGCCACCTTCTACTCTGTGTGCTGGGAGACCCCCAGTGAGTCACTGGGGAGGGGGCAACCTTCCTGGAAGTAAGAGACATGAGGTGCAGAGACCCTCACGTGCCCCAAGGTGTTTCGACAAGGAGCTGAGGCCATCAGTGGTGAGCCCCCTGGGGTGGGGGTGGGGCCGGGTAGGGCCCCAGGGCAGAAGCACAGGTCCCCACGAGGGGCACTCCGGTCCACTTTTGATAAAACCTTCTCAAACACATTTGGAGACACTGCTGCCCCTCCCCTCTCAGGGCAACGGACCCTGTGGACCTCAGAGCCAGGAAGACGCAAGCCCCACGGAGATACCCGTGGAGATACCCTACCAGCCAGGCAGGGGGACCCCGCAACCTACTGCAGCCTCCGCACAGAGATGAACATCAACTTGCTAAACCCCGGGGGTCCATAGAAGGAAGTCTCTGGGGGACCTTGGGGTCTAGTGGGAGGGCTTGCCAGGGACGAAGGTCAGAGGCCACAGAGGCAGTGCCCGCTGGTGGAACAGGCAAGCCTTCAGTCCCGGTTACACAATGTTTGGAGTAATCTCACATCCAACACAATTGAGTTTTAGTGCTTAAATTACCTCAAAGCCTGGAAACAGCTGCAAGCCATGGTTAATAAAGGCCTGTAATTGAGACCAGCTTCCTCTCCTCCCAGCAGAACAAGCAATATTTGTGTTTTGTTTCCACAACCAGCTGCACAGTTCCCTAGGGAAACGCTAACAGATTTAATTTGGAGAAAATTTAAGGCCCGAGAGTCATCTTAGATTTGATGTGGAATAAAGCAACAACGTGAACAGGAACTCAAACACGCTTGCAAATTTCATCCCCTACGGTTCAGTGTCTGAGCACTGTGCTGAAGAAAAGCATGTAGACCCACATCTGAAGTCTGCTGCTTAGTAAATACTAAATAAAAAACTGTTATTTTGTATCAACACCTAACCCAGATCAGACAAAATCCATAAAGCACATATGTCTGAACTGCTAGTTACAACCCGCTGGGTATTTTTGGCAAAAAGAAAAGGGCAGCACTGCACATGCTAAGGTTGGAGTTTACCCATCAAGGCCACGTCGGGTGCATGTGTGTGCACGCGTGTGTGTGAACAGGTCTGTATTCCACCGCTGTCCCAGCTGCACTCACGGTGGAGTAGATGGTCACTTCCGTGCACGTGTGCATTAAATGGAGGTTATGACGGGGGTAGGGGGGTGCAGGGCAGTGCGCCGGGAACAGGGCATCGGGACGGAACGGCAACCTGGTACCACCAGGGCACGAAAGGACCTGAAAAGAATGTCTCTCTCTCATTTGGAAACATGGCCATTATTACAAAAATGAGGAAACACCTGATCTGATCCAGCAGTTTTGGCAAATCCTGAGCTGAGCACCCCAGGAGCGCCTGCCCTGTGGTGTGGAAAGCCGCTGGGGCCCAAAGGCTGAGCAGATGGTGCCTCCCGGGTGGGCTCCCGCCCAGTCCGGCCCTGCCACAATGGAGGCTCTGCGTGTCTTCAGAGACGCACATGTGGGGTGCGTAACATGGCACCGGGGCCCCAGGGCATGTGATCCAGGGAAGGACTGCGGGGTGAGAGGGCACGCTCCAAGAAAAGCTTATCTAGACTTCATCTGCTCGATTGCTTCTGAAAAGTCCGAGTGCGTTTCATGACAAAAGCAGCTTTCTGAGCCCTTGCGGGACAGAGCACTGGGCTCCCCTGCCCCCCACGCCCGGCGCAGATGCAGGGCGCAGGACGCCTGCACCCCCATACCCTCCGCCCTGATGGCAGAATTCCCCATGTGCGAGGACATGGGGTCAAACCATCCTGTGCGGCTGATCACCCAGAACAGAATTCACAGTTCTCGCCTCGACCCACGGAACAGCGTTTCTATGAAGCGGGGAAGCACAGGACGCCGAGGGGGCTCCTGCACACGGAGGGCGTGGTCCCGCACCTCTGCCTGCTGCGGGGCTCTAGCAGGGCCCTGCTCTGTGCCTGCCTGAAGGGGCTGAACCTTCTCCGCAGGTCAGTTCACCCACAGGCCGGCCTGTGAGTCAGACCAGACGGCCCAGAGGACACAGATGCAGACGCCCACAGGCGCTCACACAGCGAGCCTGGACCCAGCTGCCTGCTCAAAGAGCAGGAGGAGGCCTCTGCCCTCCGGGGACCCCCTCAGGATTCCCCCCGCCCATCAGGGTCCCCGCCGCCGGGAAGACCCAACAGGATGGTGCGCTCACCTGAGCCCCCGGCTATCTGCAGTGCTCCTCTCCAGCCGGCGCCCCCGCGGCGTCCCCAGGGCCTCGGGCGATAGGCCGCGCCCCGGTTCCTCCTCCTCCGGGGGCTTCTTCTCGCTGTCGCTGTCGTCGCTGCCCTCGCCCAGGATGTCGTCCACCTGACAAGGGGCCCAGTGTCAGCACAGACGCAACATCTTCCTGTGGAACCTGCCTGGCGGCCCCTCCCCAAGGGTGGGTCTCAGCGCCGCCCGCTCCCCGGGAGGGCACGCAGCAGCTCCCTGCAGCTCCGATGTGGGGTTGGCCCCAGGCGGGAAGGGGTAGCCCGGGCTGTGCCACTACCCCCACGGAGAACTCCAACGCCCAACAAAGCACCATTTCTGCCTAAACCCTGAGTCAGGGGGGCCCAGAGCCCAGGATGACGGCTGGTGCCCCTGGAGCCCCGTCCTGGGCGTGTACCCCCCACGGCTCTATGGGGCCCACTTCCCTGCGCAAGTCGTGGATGCACAGTGGATGATGGGGATGCCTTGGAGGAAAGCCCTGGAACCAGGCTTGGCCAGGATTAAAAACCCTCTGATGAAATTTGGGTGAGGGGGGACACCCCACCCCACCCCCAAGTAGAGCAGCTCTGAGCAGGGACCACCGCCACGGCGGAGGGCTCAGATCAGCGACGTCTCCAGTTGCAAACCCACGTGTACAGCTGAGAAGGGACAAGGCACGTGCATCCGCGAGTTAAAGCGCACACGCTGAGGCGACAGTTCAAGGGCTGGCTTTGCTGTCGGGCCCACAAGGTCTTCCAGGCATCCCTGGTGGCGCAGATGGTAAAGAATCTGCCTCCAACGCAGGAGACCTGGGTTTGATCCCTGGGTCAGGAAGATTCCCCTGGAGAAGGGAAAGGCTACCCACTCCAGTATGCTTGCCTGGAGGATTCCAGGGACAGAGGAGCCTGGTGGGCTATAGTCCATAGATCACAAACAGTCAGACACGACTGACCGACTACCACTTTCACAAGGCCTTCACACGTAATCCACCCTCTTCAGTTAAGCTGAAGGCCTCCATTTCTCCCATGAAACGTGAGAACGCCCACACGGGCGGTGAGGCAGGACTCCTGTGCTGACAGATGGCACTCACTGCCCCAAACAGACCCACACGTCCACAGACATGGAGCACCCGAACTGCAAGAGTCTACATCTCCTCTGAGAGGAGGCCTGCAGCGCACCCGAGAGCGCCGCGGTCCCCGGGTGGGGTCAGAAACCTGCCCCCTGCGCTGCCCACACACTGACCAGTCACGTCCCACCAAGCCACCCCCAGGTGGACAGAGGGCAGTGCGGGCTCACCTCCTTGTCCATGCTCTCCAAGTCCTCCTTGCACAGCGTGTACAGAGGCATGGTTTCCGACATGCTGGGCTGGCGCTTCCTCCGGGAAGGACCAGGCTGCTCCCCATCCTGACTGTCGGGCAGCTCATCACCAAACACCTGCTGGGGGCGTGGCTGCACTGCCCTGGAAGGGAAGTCACAGACCGTGAGGACAGCCGGCCCGAGCCCGACTCTCAGGACAGGTACATGTGCACACACACACACACAGTATACATACACCCAGGGTGCACACACACCCAGGGCACACTTACACATACAGAGTATACATACACAGGTTATACACACGCCCGGGGTAAACATACACACAGACGGTATACATACACCCAGGGTACACACACACACACAGAGAATATACACACACCCGGGGTACACATATACATACAGATGGTATACATACAACCAGGGTGTACACACACACACAGGGCATACACACACCCGGGGTACACACACACACACAGAATATACACACACCCGGGGTACACACACACACACAGAATATACACACACCCGGGGTACACACACACACACACAGGGCACACACACACCCGGGGTAAACACACACACAGAGAATATACACACACCCGGGATAAACACACACACATAGACGGTATACATACATCCAGGGTACACACACACACACACAGGGCATACACACACCCAGGGTACACTCTCACAGAATATACACATACATATGCCTGAGGTAAACACACCCACACCCACAGCATACACAGCGTATATACACACCCGGGGTACACACACAGGGCACACACATGGGAAGCCTGAGCTGTGAAGACACATGCTGCCTCATAGGTGGTGCCTACTCAGGTGTCATCAGTCTTTATTTATGAAACCAAAGCCCAGCAGGTCCAGCCAGAGTGCGACAGGTCAGGCTCTGCTATCCTTGGGCTGAAAGCAGACACTGACCTCCTCTCTCATCAAAAAAACCACACTACTCAGTACTGGTCTGGCGGGGTGGACAGGGAGGGTTTGCCCAGAAGTCAGAGTGGGGGGATCTGCCCTCCACTTGAGGTCAAGCAGCCACAAGATCTCTGTACGGCCCCACGTCAGGTCCCAACAGCCACAGCTCTCACGAGCGTGGAGAAACGGCAATGGTATCTTTTTACTGAATACACACCTGTTAAGCCTCCCTCCAGATCCAGAAAGGGAAAGGAGGGAACATGAGCGCCCTCCATGCGAGGCAGAGGCCCGGGGCTCCACTGGGGCAGCTCCCTCAGGTGCAGACTCCACCCGGTGCACACGAGCACCTGCCCCTCACTGCCTCAGGCCGAGGCTCCCGGGACCCTGCAGGCACCACCAAGATGCTCCCTCATCCAGGGACAGGACTAGTCGGCCACCACTCCCCCTCATGGCCTCCCCTGCCAGAAGGCAGTCACACCGGGTGGGTGAGCGGCACCCGCCCTTCATCAGCCAGAGATTCCCCAAAACGCAAATAAGCCACGCTTCTCAGTACGTTTCTTTTCTACTTGGAAAACAGTCATGTGTGACCCCATGGAGTGTAGCCCTCCAGGCTCCTCTGTCCATGGGATTCTCCAGGCAAGAACACTGGAGTGGGTTGCCATTTCCTTCTCCAGGGGATCTTCCTGACCCAAGGCTAGAACCTGGGTCTCCAACACTGCAGCAGATTCTTTACTATCTGAGGCACCAGGGAACTGGAAAATAGTTGCTCTTCATTAAGGTGGTGTTAACATGCAGAGGTTTGCTATTTTAAGAAGAATGAAAAGTGAGTATTTTAAAGACGTCTCCACTTTGTTTCCTAACGTGGAGACCACCAGTCGCCAAAGCCCCACCGCTCCCTCCAGCTCTCGACATCCCACACTGCCTGCATGGCTCCCCAGGCGGGAACACCCGCACCACCTACAGAGACTGGGGGAGATGGTCACATGGCCACGGACCACTCCCTGCCCCCGTGTCAGCAAGCCCACAGCAGCCCCCATGCTCGACCAGGGAGAAACAGAGACATGCACATGTTTACAGCAGCCCTGTTGGTCAGAATCCAGAGCTGGACATGCCCCCGGTATCCTCAGTGGGTGGATAGTCACAGGAGCTGCCACAGCTCACACCACGCTGCCCTCTGAGCAGTCAGCACAGCGACGCTGGGGCAGCGTCTCCAGGGAGCGGAGCCAGGCAGAGCTGCGAGCCGTCAGACCACCAGCCCGCGCTCTCAGACGACAGGACAGAGGTGGGCACAGACTGGAGTGGGGGTGGGGGGCTGCGGGAGTCTGGGAGGCAAGGAGTGGTGGGGGTGAGGGGAGATGGTTAAAGGGTCCCTGGGTGCTCTGTCATTTCTGTTAACTGCCTCTTCCCATACAACCATCTCCAAAAACCTATACTTAAAAAAACAAGACATTCACAACCCGCAGCACACAGCTAACAAAAGGCATAGGAGAAGCTGTTTCAGAGGCTGACCCACTGGGAGACGCATGTGAGGTGTGCTGCTGTGGCCTTGACCTTGCACCCTGCTCTCCAGACACGGCCCTAGGCCAGCGACCCCGTGGAGCTGCGCCTGCCACATGGGCAGCCTGGACCCGGGCCCCAGCCCAGGGGCTCTGAACGGCAGCTTCTCTCCCCGCCACGGTCCCTGTGGCGACCTGCACGTGGGGATCCCACGTGAGAGGTGCTCTGCCCATGTTCCCCAATGACCTCTGACTCCAGGCCCCTTGTGGGCTGGCACCTTAGCCCAGAACCAGAACATCAAGGCAGGAGCTCCCGAGACTTACGACTCCCAAACAAGCATCAGATGGAAGCAACTGCCCAACGGTTATGGTGTCTGGTCACAATCGGGTTGCCCTGGGGTTCCGGCTCAGAACTTGGCCAGCATGCTGCCCCCAAGAGTGCAGCCCACCCTGCCCTCTGCACACGCGTGGGCGAGGCGCCAACTCCAGGAAACAGCACCAGAAAGGGGGGATGACCCAGGGGGTGGTGTGGGCCGGGCGCTCGGAGGCGAGTCCTGCACCCCGTCAGGCTCACCCTCACAAGGAGGAACCTCAGAGACGGAGCTCACTGTCCATGAGCTCACATGATGAGAACAGCTCGGTGTAAGGATGCACGCACAGTGAGCATGCACCACGCGGCGACAAGCCGGATGTCCCACACACGCACGTGGGCAAGGAGCCACAAGATCAGCTCCACAGAAGGAGAGCCCCGTGAAGCTTCTTGGATGACAGAATACAGAGCTGCACCCCAAAATCCAAATGCTGTTTAGGATAACCTGCACGAGTTACTCTAGAAATACTGGGCCGCTTTTGTCCAGATAGCGCAACCTCCACAGACACGTGCCGAGGCCAGCACAGCTCCAGGGCCCCCCTCAACGTGCCACCCAAACACCTGCTCTCTGTCAGGAAGGACCTGAGAGAACACGACGGTCACCGTAAAAACAACCCTGGCAGGTCACATGTCCACATGGACGAGGGGCCAGCACCACTCGGCTGCCAGCACGGACCAGCATGTCCTGAACCCAGGCAGTGATGCAGCCTTCTGACAGCAACCACCACCCTGAAGGACCCGGGCAGAGCTCCCAGAAGCCAGCCAGGAAGAAGCATCAACTCAGGATGCAAGACGACAGCCAGCGAAGTGGAGGCGGGTCCACAGGGCTGCAGAGGCCGGAGGTGCGTCAGAGCGCAGCCGTGTGTCTGAGACAGGCCAGGGCCGGGAGGCGAGGGGCCAGAGCATGCCAGGCGGGACCATGGAGCTCGACGAGCCTTTGGCGAAACAACTAACTGCCCCATTTATCAGAGTCAAAGATGTCCATGACCTTTAACCCAGCTAGAAAGCAACTCCACGGGAACAAAAACAGCACACAGAGTCACAATGCATCTATTTAAATGATTACATATCACGTCGTCATGAAAAAAAAAAAAAATCAAAGCTCTATCAGTGACCACGCTTTTAGTTTCAAATAACAAAACCACCAACCAACACCCAACTGAAACTGGCCTCAACCACTGAGTGCATCTGTCTGTCCACACCCGGAGCCCAGCATCAGGACAGACACACAGCCTACGGTCTCCAGGGCCCGTGTGTCTGCACAGGGCAGGAGCTGCTCCCGACAGGCCCATCCCGTGTCCTGGGGATGCAACTGGCAGGGCAAAGCGGGAGGGCCAGGGCTGCCTCCTGCTCCCTTGCTGGCCCTGGGCAGAGGAGGGCTGCATACCCGTCCAGGCAGAACCATGCCTCCTCCGGCCCAGCCCTGCACCAGACAGACAGGAGACAGGGCAGAAGGCCTGGCCCCAGCCTGCCCCACATGCAGCCTGCTCCTCGTGGCCGACCGTGGCCCAGGGGTACCTCCCTGCAAGTGGGTGCAAGTACCTGAAGGAGGAGAGCCCCGCGTGGGGCAGGGCACCGGGTGGCCCGGGGCCCGAGGCAGCTGTGCGGATGAGTTTGCCTGTGCTGGCATCGTAGATCCGGACTTCAGGACCAGGCGGGGCCTTGGGATGCACGGGAGTCGGGTGGAACAGGGCGGTGGGGAGGAGGCTCTGCCTGTCGGGGAAGGACGCGGGGCTGTCCTCCCTACGGGTGAGAAGAAGGGCCGTGAGAGGGGCTGGAACCAACAGGACCCCGGCAACCCCTCCTGCCGGGACCGTGACTCTGCACATGGGCACGCGGTTCCTGGTCAGGCCTGGGGCTCAGCCGCGGCCTCGGACATAGGGCAGCCTTCTCGGCACTGCTCTCTCTTGGGCTGTTTGCAGCCCTCCCTCTAAACCCAGTGCCCGCTCTGATGGAGAGGGACGCCCGCGAGCCCAGTCCCCCTATACCACGGCCCTCACGCCTCTGCACCCGCCCTCCCCCAGCAACCACCTCCCTCCATGCTGGACTCTGCAGAGACCCCGGGATGCAACAGAAGCATTCCCAGCCTCGAAACACCTGCAAACCAGGAATCACGGGGGAATGCCGTCTCGTGTCTTAGAAGCAGTGATTCTGCCCCTTCTCCAGGTGGTGCCAGGGAGAAGGGCTCTGGGTGACAGCCCGCGTGGCGGGGACAGGGGAGAGACAGGCGGGCGTCTCCGCAGACCGGCCGCCCGGAGCTCACCTCTGCGCCCTGCCCTGGTCGTCGCGTAGCGGGAACAGCTGCTCCTCCACCCTGTCCCAGCGCTCCAGGCAGCTCCACAGCCAGTCGGGGTTGACCACGTGCAGCTGCCCGCACTCCTGGGCCTGGCGCACCTTTTCCGTGCCTGTGGGCAAACTCATCCACTCAGAGCCACGAAGCGGGAGTGCCAGGGTGGAGCCGGAGGGGCGGGGCCTGTCCTGGGATGCTCCCGATCTGCCCGTGCTGCCTCTTGGCCCCCAACCAGAGCTTCCGGCCCGGGACTTCACCGGGGTGGAGCCGGAGGGGCGGGGCCTGTCCTGGGATGCTCCCGATCTGCCCGTGCTGCCTCTTGGCCCCCAACCAGAGCTTCCGGCCCGGGACTTCAGGACTCGGGGACACCTGGACCCCCCCACTCGGTGGCGGAAGGGCTAAGGGTGACTCACCGGCCCGCGCGGCGATGAGGTGGGTGGGCCGGGCGGGGTCGTCGGGGTCGAGCACGAGCTGGGTGAGGATGCGCGCGCCTAGCGCCCGGGCGTGGTAGTGCTCCCGCGTGCGCTCCACGGGGAAGTTGGTGGGGTGCAGCCCGCTGAAGATGATAGCCACATCCGCCAGCACCTTGCTGCGCAGCTCGGGGACGATCTTTCGGATGTCAGGGGCCTCGGAGCTCTCGCCACTGAGGAAGCGGTCGTACTTGGCGTAGTAGTCGGAGTGCACGCGGGCAAGGATCTCCTCCAGGTGCACCAGGTGGTCGTCGTCGTCCGCGTCCTCCTCCTCCTCTTCCTCCATGCTCTGGTCCAGGGACTCGCCCACCGTGATGCCCGACTGTTCGCTGTTCTGGGACTCGGTCTCGGCCTCCTTGCGGTCGGTGCAGCCGCCACCCAGCGCGCACAGCCCGTCCCGCTCCCCGTCCTCCTGCGCGTCCGCCGGCACACCAGCGCCAGGCTCCCCACAGTGGTTGGCGCCCACGAGTCGCTCCCCGGCTGGACCTGGGGGGCCTCCCTGCTGCGTGGCCTTCCCAGCTTCACGGGAGGCCTGGGGCTTCCTCCGGGTCCTCCTCTCCCTGCTCTCCCCATCGGAGGGGGTGGGCGAGGGCTGGCCCTCAGACTCGCTGCTGCTCCCGCTGTCGCTGGGCACGTCCGGGTCTGGGTCGGGGCCAGCTGGACCCCGCACGGGCCTCTTCTCTGGCGGGGTCTTTCCGCGCAGCTGGGCGCCCGCCGAAGACCCACGGCCGTCAGTCGAGGGGGTGCAGGTGGTGGGCCGGGCGGCCCTTTCCTCCTCCTGGCAGGGCCAGACCCCCCGAGGGCCCAGGCCCCCGTTGAGCTCCCGGGTGGGCCTCCCAAGGCCATTACTCTCCACTGCAGACGCTGGTCTTCCTTCCTCGGAGTCCCTGATGGACAGAGGCTGCTCTGCGGCGTCGGCACCTTCAGGAGGATCGACCAGGCGAGGACACAGGGGACAAGGCCACCGTTACTCAGCGAGCGACAGGAAGCCTCCTGTGGACATGCTGCCTGCCTGTGCCTGCAGCTCCAGCCACCTCTAGACGGCGGCACACACCGGAAGGCGGCCGGCAGGCAACCACTCCAGGCTGGCCGCCTCGTCGGTCACTGTGTTAGGGGCTCCACAGGGTCCGAGACGTGCGGACCACTCTTGGCTCCCAGGCTGTGGTCAGACGGGCCCTGCCTCAGCCGTGCAGGGCACCCTGGGGCCTCCCTCCCCCTGCCAGGTCTCAAAGTTCTGCTTCAGCCCTGCAGCGATAACTGTATTCTGAAAATAATTTAAAAGCTAAAGATCATCAGAAACACTTTAAGCTGAAACTTCAAACCTTCTCCAGACTCCGGGCTCAACTGGCCCGAGGGGCTCTGTGCAGGTCTGGGCAGGACGCAGCGGCCCTGCCTCTGCAGGAGCCCCCAGACCACACCCCTGGGCCGAGCTGTTCTTTCCAGGGACAACTGGGAGGAAAGGGAGCGTTCAGATGCATTAAGTCAAGCAGCATTCTTCACTCTTGACTCAACAGGAAAAAACGCTCAGGCTAATATTGTTACACTGAAAGTAAATACTATCAGTGTAACAAACAAACCCACACAACCTCTCTGACACTGAAACACAAGTAACGGAACAAAACCAAACGGAGCCCCAAATGAGCAGCAGCCACAGCTGAGACGGGACCAAGGCTGGCACACTCCCCGATGGCCGGGGACCACCCACCTCTCTTCCTTGCTGGGGGCTCCCGGGGCGCAGATGGGGCATGGATGTCCCCAATGCCCTGGAAGTAGACGTACTTCTTCACAGTTATCAGGTTGGGGGCGAACTTCCAGACATCTTCTCGGTCGTCGATGATGCAAACCATGGAGTCTCCACAGGGAAAGAGGTTTCTGAAAGTAAACATGCATCACTAGCACCTCTTATGAAAGTCACCACCCACCAAGCATTTATATTGTCTCTCAGGTGGAACCAACAGACAGCAGACTAACCAGGACCAGGCGTGAGCCACATGGAAGGGCTTGTTTAAAACACAAGACTCTCAAGATTTCCAGAGAAAGTGACACTAAGATCACTAACACTTCTCCACTGTGGCGCTCCTCAGGGCAGGAGCAGGAAGCCCTCTGCCCAGGGGAAGCTGGAGTGGACCAACGAGCCTGGCTGTGTCCCCGCCCAGCACACCATTGGCCCACGCTCCGTGAGAGCTACCGGCTCCAGGTGGGATGCAGAGCCCCACTCACATCTCAGCTGGGCGTGTACGTGACATCAGGACAGAACAGTGACGCTGGGGTGCTGGGGGGGCAGACATGTCACCAAGGATCCAGAAAGCCCGAGGGACACAGGCCCGCTCTGGGGTCTCGTCACCTGGTTTCTGCCCCCAACACCGACATTGACAGGCAAGCGTGAAGACACGAGAGTCAGAGGACAAGTGCTTCCTGCCCGTCTTCCAGGCCCGAGGAACAAACCCAGCAGAAGCACCTGCCACTGCTCAGGTTTTCTAGCTGCCACTAAAGGCAGGAAAAACGTTTACATGTCCGAAATGATTTTCTGTGAGTCTGTTTCCATAGGCACAGGGTACCGACAATGACCTACACTGGGGATGCTTTCAGCACATCTAACTCCAGCGAGACCAGGAACAGCTTGCGGCCAGAAACCTGCACCGCCAAGCACCCCTGCCTGGAGCTGCCAGGAACCCTGTCCCTGGACACCCTGTCCTCAGGCAGCTTCTCCCCTGACAAGCATCGCACCTTCCCTGGTCTCTGTATCTGCTCATTCGGATGCTCAACTGGTAAACATGAGCACTGTTTCCGGATGAGTACTCTCAGGCTCTCTTATGTACCACAGACGTGAACAGAACATCCTAAATCTGAATCTCGAAATGTCAGCTAAGGGTGACCAACACTGGCCAAAAGACCACACCCGAGACAGCGGTATGTACCCCCTTATCGGGGGGGAGGCTGCCTCTCTCTGGGTAGAAACGGGAAAATTCCTTACACAGGGTGAGCAAAAAATTCGCACAACAGGCCTTCAGTGAGGGATCAGAGGCCAGGACGGGAGGGGCCCGTGGGGTGGAAGGAGGCAGGACACTGATGTCAGGGTCGGCACATGCGAGGCCATAAAGGAATCAGGCCCCAGAGGTGGCTGGGGTGCCCCAGGAGCCCCACCCCAGGCGCTCGCCACACACCCCTGACCCCGCCCCACGCTCACTCCCACACGTGCGATCCCGGGCTCCGGCCCGAGCCCCCCAGGAGCCATCGCTGCCTGGACTTTCAGAGAAAGCAGAGAAGGGAGGGAACTGGTTAGAAGACAGTGGCTGTCCACATGCTGGAGTGGACGCTGGGGACCGGGAGAGGAGATACAGAACCAGAGGCCTGATGCTCCAGATGCAGACTTTACGACAGGAAGCGCACAGCCAGGTACCTACCTAAGGTTCCCTGTTTTGGAAAACGGGTCAATACATTCGTCCCTCGATAATATTCGATGAGAAAACAGCTTTTTCTCAGGGTCTAAAAAGCCTTTGAGAAGAAAACAGGACAAGGTCACATGTCTGAGACGCGCTGCCGTCCCACCGCATGCGAGACGGGAAGACACGGAGCCTGCCCCGCCTTAGGGGAAGGGGATCGGTCCAGATGCTGATGGAGCGCCCCCCACCCGGATCCTGCTGGCTCAGCAGGTGGGGTGAACACAGCTCAGTGCAGCCCCAGGAGCCCAGGGCCTGCTGGTGACCAGCACGGGGACCCCACCTGCGCCACGGCTCCCGGGAGGGGCCTACGGCCTCTGTGCGTCCCAGGCCAGTGAATTCGTACAGCAGAGGGGAGAGCAGGGCGTCCGGGCAGCGCTTTGAAACTCGCTCCCGACAGCAGAACCTCGTGGACATGGACGAGGAAGCACCTAACCAGCGGCATGCAGCACCGCTCAGCTGTTCTTGGGCCCACTGTGCGCCCACCAGACCCCCCGCCCTGTGACAGAACCCCGAGGTCAGACTCGACACCCATGTCGACTGCTGTCTATGTCAACCGAGATGGACATGTCCCCGGTGACCAGGCTGGCAGCCCTGAGGGCCTCTGCCTGTATAAGAAAGCCCTTACAGAGAGCTCCTACTTCCCCACGTGTCTGTGATCCTGACCCTCCTCTCCAGGGGTCCGTGGTGTGCAGCTGACAGAGGGACAGGGGCTTGCACTCAGGACTGGAGCGTGACTGCTGGCTGGGCGGAGTGGAGGTTCTGGAGGACTGGCCTGCCCGCGCCCCCACCACCACTGCGGGGCCGAGGAAGAGTCAGGCAGAGCCTCTGACCTTCGCTCCCTCTGCAGGGCCCACCATTGAGAAGGAGAGGACCACATCCGCACACCGGCCGTGAGTGTCTGGAGCAGGACAGAATACCGCGGGCTGCTCACCTGCGATGGTGTGCGCGTACAGCCGGCTGCCAAACGTGAACACGTGCAGCTCGTACAGCCGGGCCACCTTCTCCAGGAACTCCTTGCAGTGGGGACGCAGGCGCGTGTGCAGCATGGGCTCGCCCCGGCCCAGCTGGAAGTGGAAGATGCCCTGCAGAGCGGAGGTCCGGTCAGAGGGCAGCACTGATGTGCGGCAGGTGACCGCTGCCCGGCCGGGGGCTACAGGGAGAGTCAGGGCAGCACAGCCTGCGTGCCACACAAACGCCTTCCTCTCTCACACTCTGTAAGGGGGCTCAGCCCTTTCCTGCAGTAACCGCCCGGGTGAGCACTCCGGACAATCACAGTGACTGCCCAGAACAGCCAGGTGACCTGCGATAGCTTCCTGTGACAACTATGGTTCCTCAGCTGTCTGAGGACCAGCACCAGGGACCTCGCCAAGTGTCTCAGGACAGTGGTGGACACGCATGTCCTAACCATTTCACAAGCACCCTGAGTGGGTCACTTCACAAGGAGCAGGCAGCCAACCACCGCAGACTCCAGGGTCTATCCCAGCGCCTCCCGGAGTCAGAGATGAAGGTAAGCGAAGAGCCCCACACAACTCAGCCTAACTCCCTTATAGCTGTAAGATGCAACTCCACTGACTTACGGCACAAAAACCAGGTCCACCTTTAGGAGACAGATGAGATCAGTAACTCCAACCTGCTCACACGTGACCAACATGCACGAGAGTCTACTCTCCTTAGAAAGTTAAACTCTGATCCTTTTAATTCTGTTTATCATTCATTTTCCCAGTAATAATAAACTCAAAAAGAAAAGGAAATGACTGAGGCATTGTTAAGTTTTCATGGGCTGTAACTGTCACACTGTTCACGGTGGGGCTACTCTGGTAAAACACTTGGGAGTCGAGATGATACAACCGCCCCCGCCACCCCAGCCCCACGCTAAGCGGTAAATCGTCTGAACGCTGCAACAGAAAAATCCTCAAATCCCAAGTGAGGGTCTCCGAGGTTAAGGGTTCAACCCACCTCTCTAGGTCCTGCCTGCCAGGTGTCCTGCAGGTCTGGGAGCAGCAGTGGCGGGGGATCAGGGGGGCACAGGGAAGCTGCCAGCAGTGGGCATGGTCCACGTGGCCCCGGGGACACCTTACTACCACACATGCTCATACTGGGTGTGATGCAACCGTTCAAACTCTTATGAAATGAATGGAAATGTCCCGCTCCGCGGCAGACAAGCCCCAAGTGGCTGCAGTCGCCACCGCGGTGCCCCATCCCTGCCCACCCAGCTCTGCCGCCTGTGAACGCAGTGGTCATGATGCAGGAAACCCTGAGACACATCCGCAGGTGACGGCACAGCCAGCATGGAGACCTGTCGGGACAGAAGATCCCACGACGCAGAAACACTAGCCATCGAACACCGGCGCTGCTCTGTGGGAGAGGGTCCACTCCAGCCCCCACCAGCTCTCCACTGTTCCCCCACCGTGGCCATGAGCTCGGGGCAGAGCCTGCTCACTTCCTGAGCCCAACACCCAGGCTCCTTCCGAGGACGCCCGCAGCCGCCCTGCTGGCCGCGCCCACCCACGCTCACCTTGTTGGACATCTGCTGGCAGTGCTGCTCCGTGGTGTGGATCAGCGTCTGGTCCAAGTCCACCATGAGCACCAGCTTCCTGTTGCGGTGCAGGCGCTGCTGGTCTTCCCTCCCCAGCTTTTCAGCTTGCTACAGCCGGGGAGGGAAAGAGAAGTGACTGAGGAAGGCCGTGCGGAGGCAAGGTGACACTCCGTCTTCTCAGGAAACAGAACAGGAAGGTGGGGGTGCCCACCACACCCATGCGCCCAGCAGCCCGGAGTTGATGCCCTGGTGCCTGAAGCCTGTTCCATTTGCTCGAATGTCCTCAAGCCACTCTGACCGTGACTACTTCTAGTTGCGTATGGACCAGTGATCGGGGGCGGACAGGCAAGAGGATGAGTCTATACAGAGTCACTCAGGGCGGGGTGCACGAGGACTGAGATGCCATGAGCCGCGGAGCGGCTGCAGCCGTCCTGATGAGCGACAGGAATCCCACCTTGTGTTCCCCAAAGAGTTTATGCAGAAAGCCAAGAGCTACCCCGTTATAGCAGAAACAGCGGAAACACTTCCTTCTCTTTTCTACCTCAGACTTCCTTGTTTTGTCTTAAACACGCTTACGTACTTATGCTTAGATTTCAGTAATTCAGAGAAGGCAGAATCACGTCTCTGGTATTTCGTCTTCTCCACGCAACACAAAGTAGGCATGTGTCGTTTACAAGCACAGTGTTTTTACCAACAGCTTACAGAAACGCAGAGCTCCAAGGCTCCTTCAACAAGACAAGAAGCCAGTCCTCACGGGGCCCGTGCTGGTGCCCAGTTCTGGCGACGCTTGCGCCCGTGTGGGCCCTGACTCAGCATCAGGAGGCCTCTGGTCAGCATGGCCACATGACTCTCGCAATGTACAAGAGCAAGCTTTCCATTCCCAGACCTCCCCGCAGCACATGCACGTCTGCTCGTGAAAGCATGCACTGGGCCCCCACGCCCCTGTGGCCAGCACCACTCAGCCGACACGGCTCACCTCCCGCACAGCCCTGCTCCCAGGCAGGAGCCTTCCAGTGCCCCCAGCTCACGACCCTGCCCGGCCGGGGCTCCCCAACGAAGGCTGTCTTCCCCTCTGAGCCCAGGCTCCGGCGGCAGCATCCCGGAGACCTCCCAACTCAAAGGCAGGGAGACAACAGGAGAGGCGCAGCCCCCGTCCAAGGCAGGCCGCTTGCTCCACAGACCATGCGTGCACTATGGTCACTCGCGACAGTGACAAGAACAGGCCTGCCGTCTCCTCCCCCGCCCCCGCCCTAACTGAGGAGTGCCCCCAGGACCACCTTCCCAGCCCTGGCCCGCCAGGACACCTACCTCGGAGCTAACCATGAGCTCGGGGACGCTGTGCACCATGGACACGGTGGCCGTGGACAGCGGCACCTGCTGCCGCCCGTTCTTGCTCTGCAGCCTGCGGAGAGATGGGCTCTGAGGCCAGGGCTCTAGCTCGCTAACTCACACGGGGACTTCAGCTTGGTTTAATTCTAGTGGACGTGCACCGCAGGCCTAATGCTAAAGTGTCTTCCCCGTCTGGAAACACAGGAACACTGATGAAGAAACTAAGTCACACTCAAAGTTCCCTTTGAAAATAAAGGTGGTCCCAGAGGCCCCCAGTGTGAGAAACAGACAGGTCCACACTGCTCCACATGCGCCAGGGGACCCTCGACCACGGGGCAAAGCCGCCCAGGCTGAGACACGCCCAGGCGGGGAGTCCAGGCCAGGCCCAGGCCGGCCCACAGGGACGAGGAAGAGGGCTCGTCACAGCTGCACGCACCACACCAGGCGCGCGCCTCCCCAGGAGGCAGCCCGGCCCGCGGCGTGTGGAGGACAGTGGCGCCGTGGCCTGCACTCCAGCCCTCGGCCCTCGCCCCCACAGGCCCCACCGCTCCCGAGCCGCCAGCACTTACTGGGTCAGGTCCTGGCCACACTCGGCGCACAGGCCCTTCATGACGACGGGGTGACTACATCCTTCTAAGCGTACCAGGACCGCCCTGGAAACGGGGGAGAACAAGCATATGTCAGCAAGAGCTGCAACCCCTGGGCTCATCGGTGCCCCAGGACTGCAGGGGGTCACGCCGCCCCCAGGCCATCTCTCTGGTGATAAAGTGAAGGACTTTCCCCTCCGTGGGTCCTTCACATGAAACACACCAAAACTACCTTTGGAACAACAGAAAGGACTCAGGATGTCCAGTCAGATAACAGAAAACTGTCTCAAAATGCATGAGAAGCTTACATGGGATTCGCCTATGGTTTCTGATAAGCAGCTTAGAAAAACTGAAACGTTAATACGACAAGGAACAACTCATTAAAATACAGACAATAAATGATTCTTGTCTCCCGTAGTCATTCCCAGTCTAGAGAAAGGCTGTGATTAAATTTTTCTGACAGGACTAATATTCCTAGTTTTCATAAACACAGAAATTGCCGTTTTCTTTGTACATTCACCTCAAGCCCTCATGGCCTGGCAGCGGCCTCTGAAGGGGGCTTTCAGCTCCCCAACCTGATGGCTGTGGGTCAGCGTGCCGGGCAGGTCAGCATGGTCCCACCTCCCGACCCAGCGGGTGAGGGCCCCGGCGCCCGGCGTGGGGGGCCCTCGGGGTGTCTCCTCACAGACTCTCTGAGGCCTCTCCTGCCTCTCCCCGCCCCATCCCTGCTGTTCATGACCCGGCTCCCCGTGCCCCCCACCAGGCTACCTCAAGGCCTGTGCTGGACGGGCAGCACGGCCCCTTCACTGAGGGCCCACCGTCAGCGCCATCTCAACCCCTCCCTGAAACTGCCCCCTCACCCTGACCCTAGACAGGCTGGGGGAGTGGATGAGCCCCTGCCCTGAGCACACGCAGCTCCTCCAGGTGACCCTGCCCGTCAGCAGCGCCGGCCTGGGGTCCTGCACGCTTCACCCTCAGTTCTGGGGTGACGCCACTGCTGCCACGGCCCCTGCCCACCTTCCCGGATCCCTTCCTGCCAAGGACCCTCCTGCGGGTGAGGGGGGAAAGGGTCTAGGACTTGTCTGAGACCGCACAGTGGAGCTGGCAAGTGGACGGAGGTGCTCCGCTCAAGGTCGAGGGTGCCCTCCAGCATCTGCTCACGGGTCGGGGCGCTGTGGGCCCTGTGGCACCTGAGCACAGCCTGCTGCCTGCCTCCTGGGACACCCGCAGGTGGCAGGCGGGGGAGAAACAGTAACTGCTCTTCCACCATGTTGCCAATGCTGCTCACGCTGTGGTCACAGGCCCCACAGACCTGCTGCCCGTGAGGTCACAGGGACACAGCAGCCAGTGGGCTCCCGGGCTGGGGGCCCCCGACACACCGCTCCTCTCGGCAGGCACAGCTCGGGCTGACACTTGCTGGGTAGGTTGCAGGAACGCCCAGCCCACATTAGAGGGAAGCCAACCTGACAGTCACCTGTGTGTATCTGCGGGAGGCTGCTCCCAGGACCCATAGGTACCAGAGTCGGAGAGTGCCCTAGTCCCTTACAGAAAACAGCCCAGTGTGTGCACACAACTTCCACACACCCTCCTGTGTACACATACTCTCCTGTGTACATGGACCATCTCCCAGTCACTGGTGACACCCACCACAAGGTCAGCACTATCACAGTTGCTGGTATGTGGCAAATTCAAGCTTTGCTTTTTGGAACTTTCTGAATCCCTACCCTCACTGCTCAGATGTTCTGACCCAAAGTCAGCTGAACACACAAGTGGGGAACTTGTGGACAGGGAGGGCCGATTACATTTGCTGTAAATTACAGGACCACTCAGATCTGCCCTCCAGGGTCAGAGCTGGGTACGACACTATCTGTCCAGCTGACTTCTGTATCTCTGTTTGGGCTTAAAAAATATCCCCCCAAAGAGATGCAGTCCCCAGAGAGGGAAAGGGGGTCAGACAGGAGCAAGAGCCACATCCTTTTAGCACGAGATGTCCTCCCTCTTCAGCTCTGCAGACCTTGCCACGGGCAGGGTCGTTCTACCCTCAATACACTGCACAGTCAAGGGACTGACGTGCTGTGAACTCCAGAAACACTTCAACCAGGGAGACGAGCCTCAGAATGGCAAGCCAGTCACCAACACAGGCCAACCTCCCCAGCAGGTACCTGAGGAGAGGCCACAGGACAATCATCAGTGCAATCCCCACACAAGGTACTCCCCTCAGCACACAAGGACCAAGCTCTCTGGAGGTTTCTGTGCTCAGGAGCGTCTGTCTGCTCTAACGGGGAGCTCAGAGGGCACCAGCTGTGTTGGAAGGAGTGCAGCGTCAGGGAGTGGGTCCCAGGGCGCTGCCAGCTACTGGATCTGGGCGGGTCAGACGGGTGAGGGGTGAAGGGACCTCTTCAGAGCGGTAAATGTCTGACTACTGAAGAGCACTGGGTGGCAAGACATTCAGACCACAGTTCCACTGAAAGGAAGCAGGACTTGAGAAAGGCTGATTCCAGGGCTGTGTCAGGAAACAGGACCTGGAAGGGTGCCTGCTGCCTAGTCCAGGATAATCTGCGTGTTGAGAAAGTAACTGGAATGGACTATAATCCACTGAATAAGCACCCATGAGTCCACGCCAATAAGTTACTTTTTCTTACAGTAGAAAGCCAACCAAGAAAGGAAGAAGAAACGAAGGAATTAAAAACATCACCACTGTACAATCCTGATACAAACAGGAGATTCAGACAGACAGGCTACCGGGCACAGATAATGCTAGTTGGATGTCAAGAAAAGACGCAAGCACGCACCTACACAGCCTCCTCCTGTGCCGGTCCTTATCCATCACCAGGCTTGTTTTCTTATTATTTTATGTGTATATTTTCCTTTCCTTTGGAGACTTCAATGTATCCACATGAATTGAAAAAAAAAGCAGACAAGTAAAAAGAAAGGACAAATAATTAACAGAAATACTTTCTGCTAACAGTGCCTTGTCAGAGTATTTCCAAATCAAAATAATTTCAATCCACATACATACGCATTACGAGAACAGAAACAGACTTTTATTCCATCTACTTCCCGCACGGGGATGCTCCGGGTGAAATGCAGCCTAAGCAGACAGCAGTGTGGAGGAAACCCGGGGAAGCCCAGCAGGGACCAGGCTGGTGTGTCAGAACCTGCTGGGACCCCGTCCCCTCCTCTGTCTAAAAGGTCAGAACAATCCCCACTCTCCCCGACAGTGTGAGCGCTACAGAAACACGCAATCCCATCACAGGTCAAAAGAGCGTCTGCCATCTCCACTACATCCAGAGACAAGGTCTCTGTGTTCCTGGAACTGTTCACTGCCGGAGAACAACCTCTGGTGTGGTCAGGAGGAGGCCAGCTGCTGACAGTGATGACGAACACAAGGACAACTCCGGCCACAGAGCCTGGCTCTGGGCTGGTGCTTTACACACCCTCTCACACCTGCGTTCCAGGAGAAATGCTACCACTGCTCAGAGTCTCAAAAGGCCCCGGGATGAACCACTGCAGTAAGATACCCCAAGACCTGAAACACCAAAAACACACTGAAGAGAAAATTACCCACAGCTGGGAACTCATCACTAGGCCAGCTACTGGGCTGACTGGCATTACCTGACTGGGCTCCTCTGCTCTGCAGGACGGCTGCACGTGAAGGCTCACTAGCTGCTGTGACCAGTAACCGGCCTGCCTGGGCCTCGGGGTCGTTTCCATGCAGTCAGAGTAACAGAACAACATGGAGCAGAGGTCTTTCCCTCAGGGTTTTCTACCCAGTGAAACAGCAACATCAAGCAGCACGTCCATCGTCCAGGTGGTGGGTTTACAGGCTCCTCAGGGCCCAAGCAATGGTCAAGGAAGACCTGACTTCAAAGCAATGCTGAAAGCACACCAGGGTGTCACACACAGCAAGCCTCTCCCTCGTAAGGCCAGGCGGATGGCTCTGGCGGTGGCAGATGAGAGTGCAGCCCAGCCACCTCCCCTGCACTCTGCGGCAGGTACAGATGGCTGAAGACCTGGCTCCGTCTCCAAAGATGAGAGAAGAGAACTGGACGCGGGATAAGGTGCCCCGGACTGCGAGGCAGGCAGGCTCTAGCCGTGTGGAACCAGGTGGAAAATGTTCAACAGTCAGAGAATGAACTTGTGCCACTGGGAGAGCAGCAGGGGCCGGGGCCCACCTCTCCAGGGGAGGGCCAGGATGGGGAGAAAGAGAACTGAGTGCCCAGGGCACTGGGCCCCACAGAGGGACACTGCACCCCAGCCACGGAACAGGAGGCAGGGATGCCCACCTGCCCCAGGTTTCCGTCCCTGCAACGGAAACAACCACAACCAGTCATGTGTACACAACTTTGCGCACAACACTGGTCAACTTATAAAGAGGTTCATACACTTCAGAAAAGAAAAAAAAAATCCCTTCACAAGGTTATAACAGGGGCAGGACAGCAAGAGCCGATGGCAGGAGAAGACACTACTGCTTGCCCTGACCTACCTTGCCAGAGCCACACCCCCTTCCTGAGCTATGAAGCAGAACTGCCAGGTTTTACAACCGCGCTTCACAAGGTTTACTAGGACCTTAACAAGTGCACGCCTCCCAACAATTAACGCTGTGACAACAAGCAAGGAGAACGCCTGCTTCTTCCTGTATGCGCTATGACCCCTAGTTTTCCGGACTTATAAACGTGAAGTCTTGGGTGGAGACACCTGTCACAGACAGAAAAGAATGCAACTGTCTTTCAAAAAGTGCAATTTCGGTGACACAGGGGTTTTTTTTTTTTTTTTCAAGTTTGCTGCCTCCGATCAGTAGATAACTAGCAGGGACTGTCATCCAGCCTTCGAAAAACAGGCAGAGGCGCAACTGTGCGCCCTACCTTCCAAAGTTCTCCCCGAGCGTAGCCCCTTCAGCTGCAGCTCGGGAGACCCTGTCCCACCCAGTGCCTAGCCCAGGTCCCCCTCCCGGCCCAGGCCCAGAGCTCCCTCCAGACCTGGCTTCCTCCCCCGTTACCACTCACCCGGGGGCCACCACCTGGCCCGGCTGCGCGCACAGTTCTCGCACCACGCCCGCGCGCTCCGACCTCAGCCTGCGCTCCGCGCGCACGCAACCTCCGGAGCCAGTGCGGACAGGGGCGGGCCCGGAGGGCTGCGTGGAGGCGGCGGCCTCGCACACAGCCAGCACAGAGCCGATGCGCACGGCAGCGCCAGCCGCCACCCTCCACTCGAGCAGGCGCAGCGGCCCGGGGCCGGGGCAGCGCACCTCGGCTACGGCCGGCGGCTGGGAGCCCTCGGCGGGAAGGCGGCCGCCGGGCGGCGCCTCCATCGCAGCCGGGCGGAGACGCTACGGAAGGGCGCCGGCAGACGCTCAGGGCCCGGCGCCCCTCGCCGCGGGCGGGAGACCCCGGCCCAGGAGGGGACAACGGCGGTAACGCTGCGATCCTCAGCCCCGCACCGGCTTCCACCCACCGCCCGTCCCGCGCCGACTTCCGGGACAGCGTGCGTAGTCACGTGTCGCCGCGCGCGCGCGTGCGCCGGGGGCCGTGGCGGGCGCACGCCACGCGGGGCCTGAGAGGCCGGCTGGTCCCCGGAACCGGCCGCTGCCTGGAGGGCGCGGGCGGGGCTGGCCCTGCTGGGAACGAGGCACCTTCGCTGCGTTCACCCCGCGAGCACCAGCATCCGGGACTGGCGACGGCAGGCAAAGCGGAGCCGCCGGGCCGCAAACCGTGTCAGGCGCTGCGGCTGTAAGTCCTGGGACTACGAGTCCCGGCGTCCAGCGCGCCCCGCGGGATCACGAATCCCCGTCTGGCACCGGGAGTCCCGGCATGCAATAGGGGTGTCTGTCCCGCAGCTCCCATCGCCGGTTAGGGGCCGGTGCCAGGAGAACTACAAGTACCAGCATGCAGCGCGCCCCTAGGGATCACGAGTCACCATCTGGCGCCGGGAGTGCCGGCATGCAACAGGGGTGTCTGCCCCGCAGACCCCATCGCAGGCTCGGGGACGGTGCCAGGAGAACGACAAGTACCAGTATGCAGCGCTCCTCGCCGCCCTTTCCGCGCTGAGGGCTGGCTGGCGTCTCAGGACGGCGGGGCCGGAGACCCGGCACTCGGCACTCGCCCCGTTTGGCGCCGCGGGTGCCGGCACGCCGCAGCGGCCGTCGTCCCACGACTTCTCCCATCACCCTCGGAGTCCGGTCGTCCGATGCCCTGCGTGCCGCTGCCCCGGGAATCCCGGGCTGCGTTGTGAACCCCGGCGTGCAGAGCGGGCGTCGTGGGCCGCTGGCCCAGCGTGCCCCGTGCGGCGCCGGGTTGGGGCTTGGTCGCCAGGTTGGGGCTTGGTCGCCAGGTCTCCTCCTCGCCCCGGAGTGCGTGTTCTGGGGTCTCTTCCGGCTGGATCACCGCACTGTCCGCCTCGCCTTTACCCCGCTTTGGGAGACCTGGTGCACTGCCCGGAGACAGCGGGAGCCGCCGCGGAGATGAGCTGATTCAGTCCGGGAGCAGTCGTTTGCGGAGGCCTTCAAAAGGTCTTTCTTGATACGATTTCTGCTTTTTCTCTGCTGAGATTTGGACAGAAGCACCTGTCCCAACAGCAAGAGCCCCCACCCCCACCGCAGGTGCATGAAGCAAAAACTGACACAATTTCAGAAATGCGGACAACTCAGTATCCGCATACTGTTAATGCATTTTATTATGCTTCCCAGATCATGTTTTTTGTTTGTTTGTTTTACCACTTGGAGGTTTGTGGCAAGCCTGCATGGAGCGAGTCTATCAGCACCAATTTTTGCAACAGCATTTGCTCACTTTGTGTCTGAATGTCACATTTTGGTAATTCTCACAGTATTTCAAACATATTTGTTTTATTTATTACAATGATCTGTGATTCATGGCCTTTGATGTTGCAATTGTAATTGTTTTGGGGTGCTGGCAGCTGCGCCCAGGTAAGACAGGGAAATTAACTGATAAACGGCCGTGTGTGTTCTGATTGCTCTACCAACCTGTGTACCCTGTCTCTGTTCCTCTGGCCTCCCTGTTCCCCAAGCCACAACAGTATTGATATTAGGCCAGTTAATAACTTTACAATGGCCTCTAAGTGTTCAGGTGAAAGGAAGAGTCGCACATCTCTCACTTTAAATCAAAAGCTAGAAATGATTAAGCTGAGTGAGGAAGGCATGTCGAAAGCTGAGATAGGCCGAAAGCTAGGCCTCTTGCGCCAAACAGTTAGCCAAGTTGTGAACGCAAAGGAGAAGTTCTTGCAGGAGATTAAAAGTGCTACTCCAGTGAACACACGAATGATAAGGAAGCGAAATAGCCTTATTGCTGATATGGAGAAAGTTTTGGTGGTCTGGATAGAAGATCAGACCAGCCACAACATGCCCTTAAGCCAAAGCCTGATCCGGAGCAAGGCCCTGACTCTCTTCAACTCTATGAAGGCTGAGAGAGGTGCGGAAGCTGCAGAAGAAAAGTTTGAAGCTAGTAGAGGTTGGTTTATGAGGTTTAAGGAAAGAAGCCGTCTCCATAATGTGAAAGTGCAAGGTGAAGCAGTGAGTGCTGATGCAGAAGCTACAAGTTACCCAGATCTAGCTAAGATGATTAAGGAAGGTGGCTACACTACACAACAGATTTTCAATGTTGATGAAACAGCCTTATATTGGAAGAAGATGCCATCTAGGACTTTCATAGCTAGAGAGGAGAAGTCAATGCTTGGCTTCAAAGCTTCAAAGGACAGGCTGACTCTCTTGTTAGGGGCTAATGCAGCTGGTGACTTAAAGTTGAAGCCAATGCTCATTTACCATTCTGAAAATCCTAGAGCTCTTAAGAACTATGTAAAATCTACTCTGCCTGTGCTGTATAAATGGAACCACAAAGCCTGGATGACAGCACATCTTTTTACGACATGGTTTACTGAGTATTTTAAGCCCACTGTTGAGAACTACTGCTTAGAAAAAAAGATTCCTTTCAAAATATTGCTGCTTATTGACAATTCACCTGGTCACCCAAGAGCTCTAATGGAGATGTACAATGAGATTAATGTTGTTTTCCTACCTTCTAACACAGTGTCCATTCTGCAGCCCATGAATCAAGGAGTAATTTCAACTTTCAAGTTGTATTATTTAAGAAATACATTTCGAAAGGCTCTAGCTGCCATAGATAGTGATTCCTTGGATAGATCTGGGCACAGTAAACTAAAAACCTTCTGGAAAGGATTCACTATTCTAGATGCCATTAAGAACATTCGTGACTCATGGGAAGAGGTTCAAATATCAACATTAACAGGAGTTTGGAAGAAATTGATTCCAACCCTCATAGATGACTGTGAGGGGTTCAAGATTTCAGTGGAGGAAGTAGCTGCAGATGTGGTAGAAATAGCAAGAGAACTAGAATTAGAAGTGGAGCCTGAAGATGTGATTGAGTTGCTGCAATCACATGATAAAACTTTAACAGATGAGGAGTTGCTTCTCATGGATGAGCAAAGAAAGTGGTTACCTGAGGCAGAATCTACTGGTGAGGAAGCTGTGAAGATTGTTGAAATGACCACAAAAGACTTAGAATATTACATAAACTTAGTTGATAAAGCAGCAGCAGGATTTGAGAGGATTGACTCCAATTTTGAAAGAAGTTCTACTGTGGGTAAAATGCTGTCAAACAGCATTGCATGCTACAGAGAAATTGTTCATGAACGGAAGAGTCAATTGATGTGGCAAACATCCCTGTTGTCTTATTTTAAGAAATTGCCACACCAACCTTCAGCAACCACCACCGTCATCAGTCAGCAGCCATCAACATCCAGGCAAGACCCTCCACCAGCAAAAATATTACGACTCACTGAAGGCTCAGATGATGGTTAGCATTTTTTAACAATAAAGCATTTTTAAGTTAAGGTATGTACACTTTTTTTTAAAATAAACACAATGCTATTGCACCCGTAATGGACTACAGTATAATGTAGAAATAATGTTTATATGCATTGGGAAGCCAAAAATTTGTGAGACTAGCAATATTCACTTTTACTGCAGTGGTCTGGAACCAAACCCTTCATATCCCCAAGGTAGACCTGTCATGGTCTTTAGTTGGATTTCTTTCGACCTTTGTTCTTCCCTCCCCTCATTTAATAACTGTAAATTATGTACATACCAAAGACAATGTAATCCTAAAATGAACCTATCCGTGGTCTGAAAATGTTGAACATGACCAATATTGTTACAGCTACCTATGTGCTCCTTACAATCCCATCTCATACCCTTGATTCCCCACCAGAAGTATTGACCATCCTCAAATTCATGTTTGTCTTTTTCCTGTTTTATGATGTTTTGCTGCATTTGTATAAATGTATGCACAAAGATCAGAGAAGGCAATGGGACCCCACTCCAGTACTCTTGCCTGGAAAATCCCATGGACAGAGGAGCCTGGTGGGCTGCAGTCCATGAGGTCACTAAGAGTCGGACACGACTGAGCGACTTCACTTTCACTTTTCACTTTCATGCATTGGAGAAGGAAATGGCAACCCACTCCAGTGTTCTTGGCTTGAGAATCCCAGGGACGGGGAGCTTGGTGGGCTGCCATCTATGGGGTTACACAGAGTCAGAAACGACTGAAGCAACTTAGCAGCAGCAGCAGCATGCACAAAGATACTGTTTAGTCATGCTTGTTTTTGATGTTTATAAAAATGCATCATATGTTTTAAAATCTGTGAATGGTTTTTTCATTCATCACTATGTATCCAAATTTTATTTGTATTATTTTATATGGGTACAGTTTATTGTGACTTCTATATAATAGCTCATTGGGGGAATATTACAGGATTCATCTATACATTATTTTATAGAAGGACATTTAGATCGTTTTCCCTTTTTGGTAATATGGAAATTGCTACAATGAACATATTTCTGCATGTTTCTTAGTATAATGAGTTGAAATCTGAGAATATGTATAGTAATGTGGAATTGCTGAATCAGGATATGCAAGTGTTCAGATTTATGAGATATGTCAAAATTGTTGTCTCAGCTTATATTTTCACCACATTCTCAATGACTTGCTTTATCCTACTTAATCTTTGCCAATCTAAATGAAAATTGTTAAAATGAAGCTGTGGTTTTAATTTGTATTCATCTGCTAGCCATTTTGACTTAGTATCTTCCTATTTTTTAAAATAAATTTGCCTTTTGTGTTTTCTGCAAAATGTCTATTCAAGTTTGTCGCTCATTTTTCTGTTGGGTTGTTTGTCTTTTTCTTGTTGAGCAGTGTTAGTTTCTTGTGGTTCCTGAAACAGATCTTTTATTGTTTATGTTACCCATATCATCCAGCAGTTTTTGACTTGTATTTTTTATGG